TGATATAAAGACTCCCTAGTCTGCTGTAGGCTAGAGGGGAAGACTCCCTAGTCTGCTGTAGGCTGGAGGGGAAGACTCCCTAGTCTGCAGCAGGCTGGAGGGAAGGTTCCCTAGTCTGCAGCAGGCTGGAGGGAAGGTTCCCTAGTCTGCAGCAGGCTGGAGGGAAGGTTCCCTAGTCTGCAGCAGGCTGGAGGGAAGGTTCCCTAGTCTGCTGTAGGCTGGAGGGAAGGTTCCCTAGTCTGCTGTAGGCTGGAGGGAAGGTTCCCTAGTCTGCTGTAGGCTGGAGGGAAGGTTCCCTAGTCTGCTGCAGGCTGGAGGGAAGGCTCCCTAATCTGGTGTAGGCTGGTGGGAAGACTCCCTAGTCTGCGGTAGGCTGGTGGGAAGACTTCCTAGTCTGCTGCAGGCTGGAGGGAAGACTCCCTAGTCTGCTGTAGGCTGGTGGGAAGACTCACTAGTCTGCGGTAGGCTGGTGGGAAGACTTCCTAGTCTGCTGCAGGCTGGAGGGAAGACTCCCTAGTCTGCTGTAGGCTGGTGGGAAGACTCCCTAGTCTGCTGCAGGCTGGAGGGAAGGTTCCCTAGTCTGCTGTAGACTGGAGGGAAGGTTCCCTAGTCTGCTGCAGGCTGGAGGGAAGACTCCCTAGTCTGCTGCAGGCTGGAGGGAAGGCTCCCTAGTCTGCTGCAGGCTGGAGGGAAGTCTCCCTAGTCTGCTGCAGGCTGGAGGGAAGACTCCCTAGTCTGCTGCAGGCTGGAGGGAAGACTCCCTAGTCTGCTGCAGGCTGGAGGGAAGGCTCTCTAGTCTGCTGGAGGGAAGGCTCCCTAGTCTGCTGCAGGCTGAAGGGAAGGCTCCCTAGTCTGCTGCAGGCTGGAGGGAAGGTGCCCTAGTCTGCTGCAGGCTGGAGGGAACGCTCCCTAGTCTGCTGCAGGCTGGAGGGAAGACTCCCTAGTCTGCTGCAGGCTGGAGGGAAGACTCCCTAGTCTGCTGCAGGCTGGAGGGAAGGCTCCCTAGTCTGCTGCAGGCTGGAGGGAAGGCTCCCTAGTCTGCTGCAAGCTGGAGGGAAGACTCCCTAGTCTGCTGCAGGCTGGAGGGAAGGCTCCCTAGTCTGCTGCAGGCTGGAGGGAAGTCTCCCTAGTCTGCTGCAGGCTGGAGGGAAGACTCCCTAGTCTGCTGCAGGCTGGAGGGAAGACTCCCTAGTCTGCTGCAGGCTGGAGGGAAGACTCCCTAGTCTGCTGCAGGCTGGAGGGAAGACTCCCTAGTCTGCTGCAGGCTGGAGGGAAGACTCCCTAGTCTGCTGCAGGCTGGAGGGAAGTCTCCCTAGTCTGCTGCAGGCTGGAGGGAAGACTCCCTAGTCTGCTGCAGGCTGGAGGGAAGACTCCGTAGTCTGCTGCAGGCTAGAGGGAAGACTCCCTAGTCTGCTGCAGGCTGGAGGGAAGACTCCCTAGTCTGCTGCAGGCTGGAGGGAAGACTCCCTAGTCTGCTGCAGGCTGGAGGGAAGACTCCCTAGTCTGCTGCAGACTGGAGGGAAGTCTCCCTAGTCTGCTGCAGGCTGGAGGGAAAGACTCCCTAGTCTGCTGCAGGCTGGAGGGAAGACTCCCTAGTCTGCTGCAGGCTGGAGGGAAGACTCCCTAGTCTGCTGCAGACTGGAGGAAAGACTCCCTAGTCTGCTGCAGACTGGAGGAAAGACTCCCTAGTCTGCTGCAGGCTGGAGGGAAGGCTCCCTAGTCTGCTGCAGGCTGGAGGGAAGGCTCCCTAGTCTGCTGCAGGCTGGAGGGAAGGCTCCCTAGTCTGCTGCAGGCTGGAGGGAAGGCTCCCTAGTCTGCTGCAGGCTGGAGGGAAGGCTCCCTAGTCTGCTGCAGGCTGGAGGGAAGACTCCCTAGTCTGCTGCAGGCTGGAGGGAAGACTCCCTAGTCTGCTGCAGGCTGGAGGGAAGACTCCCTAGTCTGCTGCAGGCTGGAGGGAAGACTCCCTAGTCTGCTGCAGGCTGGAGGGAAGGCTCCCTAGTCTGCTGCAGGCTGGAGGGAAGACTCCCTAGTCTGCTGCAGACTGGAGGAAAGACTCCCTAGTCTGCTGCAGGCTGGAGGGAAGGCTCCCTAGTCTGCTGCAGGCTGGAGGGAAGGCTCCCTAGCCTGCTATAGGGAAGGCTCCCTAGTCTGCTGCAGGTTGGAGGGAAGACTCCCTAGTCTGCTTCAGACTGGAGGGAAGGCTCCCTAGTCTGCTGTAGGGAAGGCTCCCTAGTCTGCTGTAGGGAAGGCTCCCTAGTCTGCTGTAGGGAAGGCTCCCTAGTCTGCTGTAGGGAAGGCTCCCTAGTCTGCTGCAGGCTGGAGGGAAGGCTCCCTAGTCTGCTGCAGGCTGGAGGGAAGGCTCCCTAGTCTGCTGCAGGCTGGAGGGAAGGCTCCCTAGTCTGCTGCAGGCTGGAGGGAAGACTCCCTAGTCTGCTGCAGGCTGGAGGGAAGGCTCCCTAGTCTGCTGCAGGCTGGAGGGAAGACTCCCTAGTCTGCTGCAGGCTGGAGGGAAGGCTCCCTAGTCTGCTGCAGGCTGGAGGGAAGGCTCCCTAGTCTGCTGCAGGCTGGAGGGAAGACTCCCTAGTCTGCTGCAGGCTGGAGGGAAGACTCCCTAGTCTGCTGCAGGCTGGAGGGAAGACTCCCTAGTCTGCTGCAGGCTGGAGGGAAGACTCCCTAGTCTGCTGCAGGCTGGAGGGAAGACTCCCTAGTCTGCTGCAGGCTGGAGGGAAGGCTCCCTAGTCTGCTGCAGGCTGGAGGGAAGACTCCCTAGTCTGCTGCAGGCTGGAGGGAAGACTCCCTAGTCTGCTGCAGGCTGGAGGGAAGACTCCCTAGTCTGCTGCAGGCTGGAGGGAAGACTCCCTAGTCTGCTGCAGGCTGGAGGGAAGACTCCCTAGTCTGCTGCAGGCTGGAGGGAAGACTCCCTAGTCTGCTGCAGGCTGGAGGGAAGACTCCCTAGTCTGCTGCAGGCTGGAGGGAAGACTCCCTAGTCTGCTGCAGGCTGGAGGGAAGACTCCCTAGTCTGCTGCAGGCTGGAGGGAAGACTCCCTAGTCTGCTGCAGGCTGGAGGGAAGACTCCCTAGTCTGCTGCAGGCTGGAGGGAAGACTCCCTAGTCTGCTGCAGGCTGGAGGGAAGACTCCCTAGTCTGCTGCAGGCTGGAGGGAAGACTCCCTAGTCTGCTGCAGGCTGGAGGGAAGACTCCCTAGTCTGCTGCAGGCTGGAGGGAAGGCTCCCCAGTCTGCTGCAGGCTGGAGGGAAGACTCCCTAGTCTGCTGCAGGCTGGAGGGAAGACTCCCTAGTCTGCTGCAGGCTGGAGGGAAGACTCCCTAGTCTGCTGCAGGCTGGAGGGAAGACTCCCTAGTCTGCTGCAGGCTGGAGGGAAGACTCCCTAGACTCCCTAGTCTGCTGCAGGCTGGAGGGAAGACTCCCTAGTCTGCTGCAGGCTGGAGGGGAGACTCCCTAGTCTGCTGAAGGCTGGAGGAAAGACTCCCTAGTCTGCTGCAGGCTGGAGGAAAGACTCCCTAGTCTGCTGCAGGCTGGAGGGAAGACTCCCTAGTCTGCTGCAGGCTGGAGGGAAGACTCCCTAGTCTGCTGCAGGCTGGAGGGAAGGCTCCCTAGTCTGCTGCAGGCTGGAGGGAAGACTCCCTAGTCTGCTGCAGGCTGGAGGGAAGGCTCCCTAGTCTGCTGCAGGCTGGAGGGAAGGCTCCCTAGTCTGCTGCAGGCTGTAGGGAAGGCTCCCTAGTCTGCTGCAGGCTGGAGGGAAGACTCCCTAGTCTGCTGCAGGCTGGAGGGAAGACTCCCTAGTCTGCTGCAGGCTGGAGGGAAGACTCCCTAGTCTGCTGCAGGCTGGAGGGAAGGCTCCCTAGTCTGCTGCAGGCTGGAGGGAAGACTCCCTAGTCTGCTGCAGGCTAGAAGGAAGGCTCCCTAGTCTGCTGCAGGCTGGAGGGAAGACTCCCTAGTCTGCTGCAGGCTGGAGGGAAGACTCCCTAGTCTGCTGCAGGCTGGAGGGAAGGCTCCCTAGTCTGCTGCAGGCTGGAGGGAAGGATCCCAGTCTGCTGCAGGCTGGAGGGAAGACTCCCTAGTCTGCTGCAGGCTGGAGGGAAGACTCCCTAGTCTGCTGCAGGCTGGAGGGAAGGCTCCCTAGTCTGCTGCAGGCTGGAGGGAAGATTCCCTAGTCTGCTGCAGGCTGGAGGGAAGACTCCCTAGTCTGCTGCAGGCTGGAGGGAAGATTCCCTAGTCTGCTGCAGGCTGGAGGGAAGACTCCCTAGTCTGCTGTAGGCTGGAGGGAAGACTCCGTAGTCTGCTGCAGGCTGGAGGGAAGACTCCCTAGTCTGCTGCAGGCTGGAGGAAAGACTCCCTAGTCTGCTGCAGGCTGGAGGGAAGGCTCCCTAGTCTGCTGCAGGCTGGAGGGAAGACTCCCTAGTCTGCTGCAGGCTGGAGGGAAGGCTCCCTAGTCTGCTGCATGCTGGAGGGAAGACTCCCTAGTCTGCTGCAGGCTGGAGGGAAGACTCCCTAGTCTGCTGCAGGCTGGAGGGAAGGCTCCCTAGTCTGCTGCAGGCTGGAGGGAAGGATCCCAGTCTGCTGCAGGCTGGAGGGAAGACTCCCTAGTCTGCTGCAGGCTGGAGGGAAGACTCCCTTGTCTGCTGCAGGCTGGAGGGAAGGCTCCCTAGTCTGCTGCAGGCTGGAGGGAAGACTCCCTTGTCTGCTGCAGGCTGGAGGGAAGGCTCCCTAGTCTGCTGCAGGCTGGAGGGAAGATTCCCTAGTCTGCTGCAGGCTGGAGGGAAGGCTCCTAGTCTGCTGCAGGCTGGAGGGAAGGCTCCCTAGTCTGCTGCAGGCTGGAGGGAAGACTCCCTAGTCTGCTGCAGGCTGGAGGGAAGATTCCCTAGTCTGCCGCAGGCTGGAGGGAAGACTCCCTAGTCTGCTGCAGGCTGGAGGGAAGACTCCCTAGTCTGCTGCAGGCTGGAGGGAAGGCTCTCTAGTCTGCTGTAGGCCGAACACTCACCTCTGTCTCCCGGGCGAGGCGGCGGAAGAGTTCGTCCGACTCAAACTTGGCCTTTTGGTCCGGCACCACCCGCGGCATCTTGAACATGAGCCGCGGCTTGGGCGGCTGCGGCTGCGGCTCGTAGAGCGATGGCAGCGGCGACTCGTAGTGCGGCAGCATCGTCGTCGACACCGTCATCTGCTCGTTCATCATCATGGTGCAACACTCGTTCAACCGTATTGGTTGTCCGGATTAGTGGAGTCCTCGTGCGGTCTATATGCGGTCGCGTTCAACAGTATGTTAGGGTGGCGGTACGGTTCTTGTGAGCAGTTAATTTGGTCCCACTTGGCTCAGTCCCCCATAACAACACAACACTTCTGGAAGCGGTTAATGAAAGGTGTGGGTGTGACTGCGTGCGTGTGTGTATGTGTGTGTGTGAGTGTGTGTGTGTGTGGCGGTGTTATTGAGACTCTTGTGCTCCAAACTGCACGCCTTTCACCGCACACACACACACACACCTACACACACACAGTCATGGTTGTAGCCGACATAAACCATTGCTCCTGGGCTCTCACCAAACCACAACACACGGACACCTGACCACCAGTGTGGACCACAGAGCCTCTGGACCCCGCCACTCTCCAGGGCCCTGAAGGGATGATAGCCTCGATCATCGCACTTTTTCTCTCTCAAAATAATCGCTTAACCAACCTCTCTTACGTCACCTTAACACCACCTGCTCAGACGTATAACCCGAGCCATGTTTAAGTACACCTTAATGTATGCATTGCCGGAGGTAGATTTATACTGGTGTATATATCTAAGGCGTTGTGTATATTTCACCTTTATCCTAACTGTATAATATATTGATATCCCGGTATCTGTTCCCGCTATCCTGCCTGTTGGATAGAGCAGTCTTTATCCCGTTACTATGGATATTGAAGCCCGTTATTAATAATTGTGGCATGATATATTTCATGATAATTCTGTTTTCCCAGCCTATTAAATCCCGCTATGTTCTTCTGATAGGTTGATGCACGTTATTGAGTCTCGGTATTGTAGTTACTAGTCTCCGTTATTTGCAGTAGTTTAAATGTAGAGAATTTTAACCCGTTAATTACCTAATCAAGGCTGAATAAATGTTCTTCCTTACCGTTTCAATCATATGGTCCAGGTTCTTATACATCAACTTAATGAAGATGTCACATTATTCTGATTGATAAATCCCTGCTTCTTGACTTCTAAATCCCGTTATACATAACGCAAAATCCCGTTTCGTTACTGTTAAATCCCGTTTATCCAAACTTCCATAATCCTTTTTATTAACAGTTCCGTGTCTGATGCGTTCATATCCTGGTGATATCTAACATGTTAAGCGGATTTGCTCCTATTCCCAACATGACCTAAACTAACCTAACATGATCTGAGCTAACCTAAGCTCATTTGAACTTATCTGACCAAACGACCAGTGGGTGAAACATTGGATTACCAAATGACTCTCTCTCTCTCTCTCTCTCTCTCTCTCTCTCGCTATACAGTTTAGCATTTAAGTGTGTCAATTATTAACAATTAAACTGTAATCCCTTAACTGTTAACCATGTGAGAAACATTCTTCCTCAATAGTTTCTCATTTCTCACTACCCACATTCTTATCTACAGACGACATAAATAAATATCGCAGGACCCTTTCAAGTTGTATCCCAGCTGTATTATATTAAGCAGTGTATGTATTCACCAGTGTATGTATTAAGCAGTGTATGTATTCACCAGTGTATGTATTAAGCAGTGTATGTATTCACCAGTGTATGTATTAAGCAGTGTATGTATTCACCAGTGCATGTATTAAGCAGTGTATGTATTCACCAGTGCATGTATTAAGCAGTGAATGTATTCACCAGTGCATGTATTAAGCAGTGTATGTATTCACCAGTGCATGTATTAAGCAGTGTATGTATTCACCAGTGCATGTATTAAGCAGTGTATGTATTCACCAGTGCATGTATTAAGCAGTGTATGTATTCACCAGTGCATGTATTAAGCAGTGTATGTATTCACCAGTGCATGTATTAAGCAGTGTATGTATTCACCAGTGCATGTATTAAGCAGTGTATGTATTCACCAGTGCATGTATTAAGCAGTGTATGTATTCACCAGTGCATGTATTAAGCAGTGTATGTATTCACCAGTGCATGTATTAAGCAGTGTATGTATTCACCAGTGCATGTATTAAGCAGTGTATGTATTCACCAGTGCATGTATTGAGCAGTGTATGTATTCATGAGTGCATGTATTAAGCAGTGTATGTATTCACCAGTGCATGTATTAAGCAGTGTATGTATTCACCAGTGCATGTATTAAGCAGTGTATGTATTCATGAGTGCACGTAAGCTGACTATACCCTCGCCCACAATTGACTGTATCCATCTATTAAGTGATATACGCCTTCCTAATGTGTATATCAGTATGTATGTCCCTACCCATTTAACAGGATCCTGCTCCGTCATTGTATTAAATGCGTCCCGTCCGGAGAGTCCACCAACAATTTTCCGCCATGTTAAACTGGTAACTTGACTAAATTACATGGATCCTCACACTTGTGGTGGCTGAGTCACTGTCATACTAAACTGTGACACTGTCTAAACTATGTCACTGTCGCATTAAATGTCTCTCAGCAAAAATTTATTCTGACCGGTAATATTTGGTGACTGCATCCTGTGGCGACTAACTGTATCAAATGTACTCGCGGTTAGTTCCTGTTATAAATATATTAACTCATAACTGTAGCGTTTATACATCTGGTTGTGCGAAGGTTGGCTTTATTTTTGTGATTTTAGATTAAGAGTTATGTATTCATATATTTAAAGCGGGATATCTATTTTGATCACTGCTTGCTGAAGATTGCATAAGCTCCGAGGCTAACTGTTGCAAGTGTGTGCACGCGGCAGTACAGGTGTCCTCATAACTGCCTTCTCCCCGTTCAAATTATCTATCTTTCGATGGCGCTAACTGTTCATCCCACCCACCAACAACTCCTCTGCACCTACACCAAAGTTCGTGTAATTTTTGTTTTTAATTATCACACATCATTAGAGCACAAATTTAATTAACACCGAGGTGATGGAGCCGCGTCGGTATGCGACGGAAAAATACACACAGACGCCCAAAAAGAACAACTGAACGAGAACTCTGCCACTACCATCTGAGCGTCACAAGAGTCCCGCAAGCGGCAAAAATCGAGGAGCTGGCTTGTGCACTGTTCACTAGATAACACCCGACTGACCACCTGGGCAAGCAGAGCCTCCATTGATCAGGCCACGCCCCCTTTTAATTTTAGCCCGTCATTGGTGGGTGGGAGCTCCGAGGGGGCGGTGAGTAGGCGGAGCCAGAGCGGCAAGGGGAGCGTTATGGGTGGAGCGACGCCTGTAATTGGCCAGGATGGAAGAAAGGGAGGGCGTGGTGGGCGGGGCTCTCTGTACGCACTCAGCCACGCGCATGTAAACAGAGACGTGGAGGCCACACGTACATACACACTCGACGACTCTTCCAGAAACATGATTGTTGACGGGCATATTATGACTGATGCTGCGTGGGTCGTTACGGTTGATCCCTCCTTCGTCACTCATGATTCATGCGCCATAAGTAACACCATTCCTGCTCTGTATGGAGCACTCATTCATGTCCCATGCTTATAGAACACACGCATTAAAGATTCCTACTTCATATGGAACCAATTAATACCTAATGCTTCATCAAGAATTCATTAATTCTCCCCTGCTTCATATGGAACAGTGGTTCGAACAGGAATATGAAAGCGTCGTAGCAGGTGTGATGTCCCATGATAACCAGACCCCTCTTACTCTTATATCTTTCCACTCTACACTTAAAACCTGCTAAAGTGTTTGCATCAATAATGCTAACTACAAAGCTATTCCACTCATCTACAACCCCAATTTTAAACCACCACTTCCCTAAACCGAAATTTCTAATCTGTTCCAACTATTTCAGAACCCTGTTTATTCCCTGTTCAGAACCCTGTTTATATTTACAAACAGTAAGTAGGTACCTGGGAGTTAGACAGCTGCTACGGGCTGCTTCCTGGGGGTGTAAGAAAAAGAAGGCCTGGTCGAGGACCGGGCCGCGGGGACTCTTAGCCCCGAAATCATCTCAAGATATACCCCCCTAAACCACTAGAAAACCTGCATAAACTCTCCCCCCTTGTCCTGAAGTTACATAAAGTTCGTTGTATTATGTAGCAGCCTTGTCATTCTTTGTATGTAACTACTGTACCCCAAATGGGACCTCACCAAATGTTCAAGGTTGTTATTAATGCATCTGTTGCTGATGCTTCAGAGTACCAGCATCCTGTTTGCGCTCCGAGCTCTGCTGTCACCGCCTGAGGACGCTGCTTACCATGACCCCTAAGTCATGGTAAACAGCGTTAACCTTTCTCTAGGTTAAGTAATTTGTGTTTCTCAACTTTGAACTGCATTTACCATTCCTCCGCCCAACACTCCAGGCTCTTCGTAGCTCCCTAGAGTCTTCCTTGGTCCTCAACACCCGCTACAACTTTGTGACGTCCGCGAACTAGCTGCTGTTACTGGTCACTCCAGTGTCCAGGGTATTTATGTAAGTTATGAGGGGGCAGGGGACCCAGTACAGAGCCCAGCAGCACACCGTGGACCCAGTACAGAGCCTTACAACACACCGGGGACCCAGTACAGAGCCCTGCAGCACACCGTGGACCCAGTACAGAGCCCTGCAGCACACCGGGGACCCAGTACAGAGCCCTGCAGAACACCCTGGGCCCAGTACAGAGCCCTGCAGCACACCGGGGACCCAGTACAGAGCCCTGCAGAACACCGTGGACCCAGTACAGAGCCCTACAACACCGTGGACCCAGTACAGAGCCCTACAACACCGTGGACCCAGTACAGAGCCCTGCAGCACACCGGGGACCCAGTACAGAGCCCTACAACACCGTGGACCCAGTACAGAGCCTTACAACACACCGGGGACCCAGTACAGAGCCCTGCAGCACACCGGGGACCCAGTACAGAGCCCTACAACACCGTGGACCCAGTACAGAGCCCTGCAGCACACCGGGGACCCAGTACAGAGCCCTACAACACCGTGGACCCAGTACAGAGCCTTACAACACACCGGGGACCCAGTACAGAGCCCTACAACACCATGGACCCAGTACAGAGCCCTACAGCACACCGGGGACCCAGTACAGAGCCTTACAACACACCGGGGACCCAGTACAGAGCCTTACAACACACCGGGGACCGAGTACAGAGCCCTGCAGCACACCCTGGACCCAGTACAGAGCCCTGCAGCACACCGGGGACCCAGTACAGAGCCCTACAACACCGTGGACCCAGTACAGAGCCCTGCAGCACACCGGGGACCCAGTACAGAGCCCTGCAGAACACCGTGGACCCAGTACAGAGCCCTGCAGCACACCGGGGACCCAGTACAGAGCCCTGCAGAACACCGTGGACCCAGTACAGAGCCCTACAACACCGTGGACCCAGTGCAGAGCCCTGCAGCACACCGGGGACCCAGTATAGAGCCCTACAACACCGTGGACCCAGTACAGAGCCTTACAACACCGTGAACCCAGTACAGAAACCTACAGCACACCGGGGACCCAGTACAGAGCCTTACAACACACCGGGGACCCAGTACAGAGCCCTACAACACCGTGGACCCAGTACAGAGCCCTACAGCACACCGGGGACCCAGTACAGAGCCTTACAACACACCGTGGACCCAGTACAGAGCCCTACAACACACCGGGGACCCAGTACAGAGCCCTGCAGCACACCAAGGACCCAGTACAGAGCCCTGCAGCACACCATGGACCCAGTACAGAGCCTTACAACACACCGGGGACCCACTACAGAGCCTTACAACACACCGGGGACCCACTACAGAGCCTTACAACACACCGGGGACCCACTACAGAGCCTTACAACACACCGGGGACCCAGTACAGAGCCCTACAACACACCGGGGACCCACTACAGAGCCTTACAACACACCGGGGACCCAGTACAGAGCCCTGCAGCACACCATGGACCCAGTACAGAGCCTTACAACACACCGGGGACCCACTACAGAGCCTTACAACACACCGGGGACCCACTACAGAGCCTTACAACACACCGGGGACCCAGTACAGAGCCCTACAACACACCATGGACCCAGTACAGAGCCAGGCGCTCCCATGAGCGTGAAGCGCGTGTATATAACTGGGTCTCTAAATTGTCAACAACACCTCCGTGTAAATATACATTCCATATATAATGGAATGTATATTATAATGTATATATATAATGTATATATAATGGAATGTATATTATCATGTACATTTCCACGGAAATGTACATGATAATTTATACGACGTGGCCGGGGCTCACTACCTCCTCTGAGCTTCAGTAGTAGTCTGGGGAATGGAAAATTCCAGCATAGCAGCGGTAGTTGCCTCTGGAATCTTTCCTTATTAAGGCTACCCATAGCTGAGTGGATAGAGCTTCTGCCTCATACACGTGGGGTCCGTGGTTCGAGTCTCCTAGAGTCTAGGTGAATGGAACTGGAGCCTCCACTCTTCAAACACAATTGTTTGCCATAATCCTTGCACTCGAGCGCGTATATGAAGCCAAAGTTGACACGTTAATTGTAAGTGACTCCTTGTCATCCTTGACTGCCCTCAGCTCCCCAAGGCATAACTATGACATGCTTGTAGCTGAAGCTAGACACAGAGGATACCCGGCTCTCACCCGCGAGGCCGGGGTTCGATTCCTGGCACGGAAAATTACCTTTAGGAGGCCTGGTCGAAGACCGGACCGCGGGGACGCCAAGCCTCGGAACCATATCAGGGGAAGGTAACCAGATATAATGATATAATCAGTGATGGAGTCAGAGTTTGTCTCCTGTGGATTCCTTCACACACGGGTCTCCGACTGCATGATAAAACTGATGAGCCAAAACTTGTGCTGGTAAAGAGGGAATGGCCGGTCGCCGAGCGGACAGCACGCTGGACTTGTGATCCTGTGGTCCCGGGTTCGATCCCGAGAGCCGGCGAGAAACAATGGGCAGAGTTTCTTTCACCCTATGCCCCTGTTACCTAGCAGTAAAATAGGTACCTGGGTGTCAGTAAGCTGTCACGGGCTGCTTCCTGGGGGTGGAGGCCTGGTTGAGGACCGGGCCGCGGGGACACTAAAATCCCCGAAATCATCTCAAGATAACCTCAAGATGGCTACAGGAGTTGAGTCTTATATGCTAGTCTTTACAAACGAACCAACACACTAATCAGAGGAGCTGAAGCAGATGATAATCGTAAGATTCTCCAAGATGACTTAATACGCTGCAGTGCTGGGCCCAGAAATGGCTGCTAGAGTTCAACATCAACAAGTGGAAGGTGATGGAAAGTGGAGCAGGAGCCAGGAGACCAAACGGTCAATACACGATGAAGGGAAACTACCTCCCAGTAACTATAACCACCAGACAAAAAGACTCTGTGAGTGGACATAACACCAGACCTAACTACAGAGGCTCATATAAATAGAATAACGTCACCCAGCATACTCTACCCTGACAAGTCAGAACATCCTTCAGAATCTTGAATGAGGAGGCTTTTAAAATTCTGTACCTTTTTATCTGTATCTTTTAGATCACCATGTTAGACCAGTCTTAGAGTATGTCACCCCATCCTGGAGCCCCCATCTTAAAAAAATAATTCTCCTGAAATTATGCTACTTACAGTAACCAAAAAACACACACAATGAAACTCGAAAGGATGTAGAAGTTTGCGACGAAGCTAATCCCAGAGTTGCGAGGGATGAGGTATGAAGAGAGACTGAAGGAACTAAAGCTAGCGACGCTAGAAAAAAAAAGAGGTGGGACATGACAGATACATATAAAATCCTTAGGGGGGGGATTGAAAAAGTGGGAAAAATGAAATGTTCACAGTGAACACCAATAGAAGAAGCTGGCACGGATGGAAGCTCAAAGTTAGATTTAAATAAAATCTTTTTGCATAAGAGTAGTGGGAAAATTAATTAAATAAAGGAGCAGGTTGTGGAAGCAAAGTCCATTCATAATGTTAAAAGTAGGTAAGACTAGGAAATAGGTCAGGAGTCATTGGGTCATGAGCTGGGTCCAAGAGCGTGCGTGTGTGTGTGTGTGTGTGTGTGTGTGTGTGTGTGTGTGTGTGCGTGTGTGTGTACTCACCTAGTTGTACTCACCTAGTTGTGTTTGCGGGGGTTGAGCTCTGGCTCTTTGGTCCCGCCTCTCAACCGTCAATCAACAGGTGTACAGATTCCTGAGCCTATCGGGCTCTGTCATATCTACACTTGAAACTGTGTATGGAGTGAGCCTCCACCACATCACCCCCTAATGCATTCCATTTGTCAACCACTCTGACACTAAAAAAGTTCTTTCTAATATCTCTGTGGCTCATTTGGGCACTCAGTTTCCACCTGTGTCCCCTTGTGCGTGTTCCCCTTGTGTTAAATAGACTAGGTGTGTGTGTGTGTATGTGTGTGTGTGTGTGTGTGTGTGTGTGTGTGTGTGTGTGTGTGTGTGTGTGCGGGACCAAAGAGCCAGAGCTCAACCCCCGCAAGCACAATTAGGTGAGTACCATTAGGTGAGTACACACACTGGTCTGGTAGCTGAGTGGACAGTGCGCAGGACTCGTAATTCTGTGGCCCAGGTTCGATCCCCGGACCAGACAGAAACAAATGGACAAAGTTTCTTTCACCCTGAATGCCCCTGATACCTAGAAGTAAATAGGTACCTGGGAGTTAGACAGCTGTTGCGGAGCTGCTTCCCGTGTGTGACGGGGGGGGGGGATAAAAATTAGTAACAGTTGATTGACAGTCGAGAGGCGGGCCGAAAGAGCAAAGCTCAACCCCCCCCCCCCCCCGCAATCACAACTAGGTGAATACAACTAGATGAATACACACACAAAAAGGCCTTTGATACATTACCGCACATGAGACTGCTATTCAAACTTGAGAGCAGGCAGGAGTAAGCGGAAAGGCCCTAGTATGGGTGAAGAACTACCTAACAGGAAGGAGCCAGAGGGTAATGGTAAGAGGCTAGAAGTCGGACTGGCGAACCGTAACAAGTGGAGTACCTCAAGGATCGGTGCTGGGACCAATTCTATTTCTAATTTACGTAAATGACATGTTTACAGGAGTAGAATCCTACATGTCAATGTTCACGGATGGCGCAAAATTAATGAGATGAGTTGTGACAGATGAGGATTGTAGGATCCTCCAAGAGGACCTGAACAGGTTGCAGAGATGGGCAGAGAAATGGCTACTGGAGATCAACGTTAGTAAATGTAAAGTTATGGAAATGGGATCCTGTGAGAAGAGACCAAAGGGACAGTACACAATGAAGAGGAACTGCCTCCCTGTGACGATTCGAGAAAGAGACCTGGGGGTGGACGTAACACCGAATCTAACTCCTGAGGCACATATAAATGGAATAACGACAGCAGCGTACTCTACACTGGCGAAAGTTAAAACATAATTCAGAAACCTAAGTAAGGAGGCTTTTAGGGCGCTTTATACTACCTACGTGAGACCAGTCTTAGAGTATGCCGCGCCATCATGGAGTCCCCACCTGAAGAAACACATAAGGAAACTGGAAAAGGTTCAGAAACTTGCGACGAGGCTCGTCCCAGATTTACGATGGATGGGATATGAAGAGCGCCTGAAGGAACTGAACCTTACGACACTAGAGAAAAGAAGGGAGAGAGGAGATATGATAGGGACATATAAAATACTCAGGGGAATTGACAAAGTGTAAATAGATGAAATGTTCACAAGTAATAATAACAGAACGAGGGGACATGGGTGGAAACTGGAAACTCAGATGAGTCACAGGGATGTTAGGAAGTTTTCTTTTAGCGTGAGAGTAGTGGGAAAATGGAATGCACTTCAGGAACAGGTTGTGGAAGCAAACTCTATTCATATTTTTAAAACTAGATATGATAGGGAAATGGGACAGGAGTCATTGCTGTAAACAACCGATAGCTCGAAAGGCGGGATCCAAGAGTCAATGCTCGATCTTGCAGACACAAATAGGTAAGTACAAATAGGTCAGTACACACACACACACACACACACACACACACACACACACACACACACACACACACACACACACACACACACACAAGAGAAGGTTCAGATGTATGCTCCCAGACTAGTACCCGAGCTGAGGGGTATGAGCTATGAGGAGAGACTACGGGACCTACACCTCACGTCGCTGAAAGACAGGAGAGTTAGATTAGACATGATCACCACATACAAGATTCTCAGAGGAATTGATAGGATAAGGGATAAAGAGGGTAATTATCAGGGGGAAAGCACTAAGTACAATTATGACTATATAGTACAAAGCCACCACCAACACAAAGCCACACCACCAACACCGTAAAGCAATCACCACCACCACCACCACCACCACCACCACCACAAAGCCATCACCACCACCACAAAGCCATCACCACCACCACCACAAAGCCATCACCACCACCACAAAGCCATCACCACCACCACCACAAAGCCATCACCACCACCACAAAGCCATCACCACCAC